TATCATTTTATGTGACGACATGTAGTTGATATTTACGAATAAAAAAAGAATAATAGAATAATCATTGACGTCAGCAGAATCGTTCAATAGGGGAAGAATAAACCATTTTAAAGGACAAGGCTTTTATAGTTTGAAAACGTAACATCACACGCGTAAACGTGTTTTCTAGTTGCGAAATTAGATCTATATTTAATTTCTCTCTCTACCTACCTAAAAAGTTCTTCTCTAACGTCTGTTTGATCGTATAGGGACAAGGATTTTTTATATTTTTCTAACAATTACCGCGATCGTAAACGTGGCAGTTAGTTTCTCCCTCTTTTTCTACCTCCTTAAAAAAGTTTGTCTTCAACAAAATTCCGTAGGCGAGAATATAATAAAAATGACTACGATTCTGCAAAAAAGAGAGTTAGTTAGTTCTAGAAAGGAAACGGCACCCTATTATTGAATTTGTTACAAACAGATATGAGAAGAACTGAACGCCAACAAACACTTCGTTGATCACCGTCCAATGCTAACAATGATTACGCGACGTTTGATTGTCTTACGTCTTATTTCTTTGCTAATTATTTTACATTCTTCCTTATTATAGATTTTGACTTTTTGTAATCGGACACTTTTGTTGGTTGTTGCTTAGGCACTGCCCAGTGGTCCAAAGAGTTCGTTCTAAACTCAATCGAGAGAGAATTAATGTCTCTACAAAACCTGCTATTTGAAGCTCTGATGGTATTTTTTTTTGTTTGAAAACCATTCAAAATATTAAAGGGTGTTGAGTTGTCGAACTGCGGCGTGCTTTTGTCGTCTTCTGTTTTGAGATTTTTAGCCCATTGTCTGATGTTGAATAGTTTATTTTTCTAAGTAGAAAGATAGAGGATTTTGTGCTCTATCAATCTCACCCGTTTACAACTTCATACAATGCTTCTGCTGCGTCACCTTGACTCATAATTAGCCCTCAACAGTTGATGCGCGAAGAACGTTAAAATGGTTTATTCTTCCCCTATTGAACGATTCTGCTGACGTCAATGATTATTCTATTATTCTTTTTTTATTCGTAAATATCAACTACATGTCGTCACATAAAATGATAACTAAAAATCGTTCTGTATATCGAGTTTCTGTTTGTAACCTTGTTGACGTAACTAGGAGGATACTATACGCGCGTTTGAAAAATGATTCATATTAAGCCTTCAAGATAACGGTCACTTTCGTGGAAAACTTATTATTTGTTCACCAAGGTTGAATTTTGTTTCAACCATGTTCACAGTCACTGCACTGATATCAATAACTACAACAGTAGCATGTTTACATTTGTATGAGAGTGATATTGATCTGAGCGATAAACGGGATCATTATGATTGTTTATATTATTTTACGGATAATTTACTTGATCAATACCATTTAATACCGTACTGTGTTCGTCCTAGTTCAAATGATGACAGATTCGTTCCTACAAATCATCCAACTGAACCAATTATGTTTTTTCAGTTACGTCAGTCGAACGTCAATAGCCGCGATCTATATAAATGGTCAGCGCCGATCGATCTAATCGAACGATATCAAGAGTATCTTGAAACTGATGGTGTAACAAGAAGCGACAATCAATTGTTTTATAATTGTTCTAGTTTATGGTTCGGTACTACGTGTCAATATACGCTCGATTCATTAGAAACGTTTGAAGATATCGTCCAAGAAAGATTTCTGCTTAAAACCGATGTACCATTAAAAGAAGTTCTAGAAATTACAAATGGAACATGTTATACAAATTTAATTTGTGAAAGTGTCCAATGCCTTGATTGGCGAAACATCTGTAATGGAAAGACCGATTGTGTCAACGGTGAAGATGAACAACATTGTTTTGAGCTTGAAATTAATATCTGTGCCACAAATGAATATCGATGTCAAAATGGCATGTCTTGCATTCCACAAGATATGTTTCATGATATGTTTACTCCCGATTGTCTAGATGGTACAGATGAATATTCATCAATATCTTATGCTATTTGTTATGAAGAACCAGAAAATAAATGTGAAGAACGGACATGTCGATATCCAACAGAATTTCCTTGTGGTGATGGCGAATGTCTGCAGACATTAGTATTCAATACAACTTCAAGTACTGACAGTAGGACATGTTCTAACGGTCGTGATTTAGTATTTAAACAAACCATATTAGCGTGGAGCGATAAAAATTTTGATAGTTTAACCTATGATTGTTGGAAGTTCATGATATGTGCACTTGAATTGGGCATTATTTTTGATTTGAACTGTCACTTTATTTGTCGTTATGACTGCGACGTGAAAGTTCTTCGAGAATGTCCACGAATATTTATTTTTCCATTTCATCCGATACTATTTAGTCATGTTCGCTTCGTTTATATATCAAATAGAACTACCAGTTGGCTTGATAATAAATCACCAGATTATATTTGTTACGATGAACGATGGTGTAAATCGTATCCGAAAACAATTGACATCAATAATTTAGCATGTCGACGATACGACGAATTTCCGCACTTGGGCGATACACACGGCAGTTGGAATAGTTTATATAACGATCTTCATAATGTTTTTAAACCTTGTTCACATCCTCGTTTAATGATTCCATTTAATGATTCTAGTTGTCCTCATTCATCATTATTTCATTGTCCAAATTCATCACAGTGTATATCGAAATATCGTTTGAACGATCGATCAGCTGATTGTATTCATGGCACCGACGAGAATTCTTCAAATATTTGTCAATTAGCTTTACCATATCGTTTCAAATGTAGAAATACTCCTGATGCTGACAAATGTTTATCACCATTTCTTGTCCAAGACGGAATTATAGATTGTTCAGATAAATCCGATGAAATTCTTGATATAGATTGTCTGGTACCAGAACGAAAATGTGCTAATCAATTTTCATTTTCTCATGATCAACCGTATGCAGTATCATTTCAACAGATTTGTAATGGTTTTGAAGAATTGATACCGTTCCATAATGAAACAGATGAAACAAACTGTCCTTCAGAGTGGCCGTGTCGAACGCAATGGACTGAATGTAATGAGTTTTGGAACTGCAAAAACGGTGAAGATGAAATCAACTGTCCCGAAACGTTTCATTACGATTCGTGTAACATGAATCATCAACATTATTGTCCTAAACCAAATCAGTACGAATTTGATTGTTTATCAACAAGTTTAGCCGGTGACGGAAATATTGACTGCCTTGGCTCAACAGATGAAAAAAACTTTTGTCGTTCCGAATACCCGAATGAACGTGATCGACGTTATCGTTGTATGAATTCCAGTAAATGTGTAACACCAAAACAATTGTGTAACTGTCAATATGACTGTCCACTGGAGGATGATGAAAAACTACTTTGTCCATGGCTAATCGATTATGCGTGTGAGGAGCGTCTTTTCACTTGTAAAGACGGTACATATATTAGAAGCCAGTCTCGTTGTAATAACATTCAGAACTGTGATGAGTATGAAGACGAAATGCTTTGCGATTTAAATGAGATTGATAAACCCAAGACAAAATTCGGGTTCGATGCAGCGACATTTGTTTCATATCCTTCTACAAATGGTACTACAGTAACAACGTCGTCGCCGGCAAATACATTTGTATTACGAGATGACTTTGACTACGGTGATGCCGATGAGCTGTGGTATTGTAATCGTGGAATTCTAGTTCGATCATACAATAATACAAAAATTTGTTTATGTCCACCCGCGTATTTCGGCAGTCGATGCCAGTATCAGAGTGAACGCATAAGTGTTTTATTGAAAATTCATCGACAGATGTCATCATTCGAACAAAATGTCGTTCAAACTTATAATTATGCTTCTTGATGATAATGACACTGTTTTATCCTATGAACAATTGATGCGTTCAAGAAGAAGAAACCTTGTTTATGGTAGGGTCTGTTTTCGAAATCGTGAATATTAACTAAGATAGAAAAGAAAAAATATGGATCATAAAATTGAATTTACAGGAGAAAAGAGAGTTAAAAGATGTGTCTCTGATCATTTGAAAATCGGCCTTGGCGAAAATATTGATATTGTATCGGTCGCAAATATCCTAAGGCAAATGAGTGACTTTGAAAAAGCAGACAAATTTTACTAACCCATATTAAATAGCTCATTAGTAGATTTAGATGATTTCACGAAGTCAGCAGGCCATTATGGATATGGGGAAATTGCTTATGAAAAGGAAATTATGACCAAACCTTAGTATATATTTCAGTATGGCTCTTGATCTTGAATTAACATATTCGCCAATCGATAATTCATTTCTCAGTCATATTCACAACTAGATTGCCAGAGTTTTTGAAAAAAAACAAGATTATGCTACCTCACCTAAACATTATCAAAAAAAGCTGGATTTCAAATTACAAATCGAAGGTCATGTCGATGATCTAGACAGTGTCGTTTTGTACCTGAACATCGGTAATGCATATTGCAAACAACAAAGTTTCATATTGGCAATGCCGAATTTTGATCAATCTGTGAAACTACAACGGACCATGCTTCCCCAGAATCCTCGAAGTTTGGCTATAATTTTATTAAAGCGTGGCAGTGCCTATACTGTGCTTGAACAATATGACCTAGCACGTATTCATTATAAACAAGCATTGAAAATTCAATTGACTACAGTACCATCATATCATCCCATTATTGCTGCAACTTATACAGATATTGCAAAAGTGCATGAACATAAAGGATGTCCCACAAGTCCTTGACCAGGGCCTCTATCGCATCTCGGAAGCCTCTGTCCACGATCATCACGTCATGTTCAGCAAACCACTTGGTGAGCTCGTCATATTTGGCCACGAGGGACTTGATGATCTCACCGTCATTGTCTTTAGCAAAGAATGGCCCGACGCAGTCGAGAACATAGCCATCGGGAAACACAAAGTTGAAAAACTTCAGTAAATGCCTCTTCTTATGCTGAGACCACATTGCACG